TTTAATGGAGGACTGCAACTTCAACAACCTGAGAGCGACCGAAGTGAAGGTGCGTGCAATAAAGCCGGAAGATGTTCGCGTGGTGAACATTTTCTCTGATGCTATGTGGAGGAAGGTCTGGTTACTAACAGAAGTTGAAGCATCATTATGGAGGATTTGGTCGAAGGGGGAAGACGATGATGACATGGAGGGCAGGAGATTATGTGGCAAGAGGAGAGAGGTTGTAAGGAATAAGAAAGGAGATAATCCATTTTGGGAAGGGGAATAGTCGGGGTGCAATGTACTCATAAGCGTAGCCTAGAAAAAGAAAATAATTCAAAAAGTTTTAGGGAAAATTCCTGATAGGTACTCTGTATTTTAGGTGGAGCGTCAATTTAGTATCCGAACTTTAAAATGCGATAATCTAATACCCAAACTTTCATTTTAAGATAATATAGTACTTGACGTTAACTCACAGTTAAGTGTTATGGGAAAAGACACAAATGCTCCTTAAGTTTTATCTAATTTTTTTACTGTTCACCGCCAATGTTCATCATCTCTTGTGTTGAACACCAAAGAAAGAAAATCAGTGTTCATAGAGTCAAACTAAACAAAAGTTCACCACTGTTCCAGTCTATGAAGACTGCTCACCGCCACTGATCCAGTCCAAACCATGGTTTCCGCATCGTACTGTTCACCGCCACTGTTTCGACCTCCTATTTATGATTTGATATCTGTTCTGTGATTCTTCAGATGGAAACTTTTTTCTTTGAAAAACTATAAATAAATAAAAGTGAACATAATGCTCACCAATGAGAAATATAACCCTTTTATGTACGCTGTAAATAAGCACGTTATATATATCAAACTTAATTAAAGAAAAATCCTCACAATTCACCAACTAGTTGTCGAAAAACTGCAAACGGCCCCGTGGGTGGTATGATATCGGGAGGCATCGATGGTGGTGGGTCAATACTCGGAGGCCTAGGCGGTATTTGATCCGGCGGTTGAGGTGGCACTACATTCAGCGGCTTTGGTATCGGAATGTCAGGAATGCACGGAGACGGAATTGGGGGTCCTGGAAATTCCTGCCCAAGATTAGGCCTTGGCGGTATCTGAAATGGAGGAGGAGGATTGGGGATCCCTACTTCAGGCGGCGGCACGGCGGTGCGGTTTCGATATCTAGAGTTGTACGAGTTGCAGACACCTCCGGTGGAAAAGAGGATGGCTCCGGAGTTGGCCTCAACGGTAGCTCCGGAGGGCTTGTCACAGGTGGATCAGATGAACCGAGGGCAGCTAAAACATGACGAAGTGAAAGGCGGATATGGGTTGGGTTGGTCTGTAGCAGGTGGCCTACACCGTATCTCAAGGAAACCGCTTTGCAAGAATATGTGAGAGAGGGGATGGAGCGGTGGAGTTTCGTTGCAGCTGATGAATTCGACATGTAGAGAGAGAAAGAAGATGATGAACAGTGCATTTTTTAAGGGTATAATTTTGACAATTTAAAATTCTTAAATGGCACATGATATATATAACTGACGTCCATTAACGGTAGGTATTATATTTTCACAAAATAAAAGTTTGGATACTAAATTATCGAATTTTAAAATTCGAATACTAAATTGACACTCGACCTAAATACCTATCAAGAATTTTCCCAAATTTTTATTTCGAAGGGTCAGGGGGCAGGGCCCTCTTTTGCGATGTAGTGAAGGGGGAGTCAAAGCTAATGGGTCTGATAATAATATTGGAACTGGACCAAACCGGGTACAGGCTGGACAGTCCAGGAGGTTGAACCGGGACGAAGGCTCAACCGCTCAAGTGACACTCTTAATAGTCACGTGAGTTACACACTAAGGGGGAAGACAATAGACAAAAGATATGGTCTATTTTCTTCTCCAAACAAGGCTAAGTCGAGAAAGAACTTCAGGAGGTCAACTAAAGATAACCTACAGTGGTTTCCAAGGCCCCCTCTCAAAGAACAGGAGACAGAAAGGAAAAGTACAGATCGCCCAAACCCAATATATTCCAGGGAGCACAAGGAGGATGTGGATGTAAAAGATAGTGGGTGGATAGATTGCGAGACATCTGATGACAAGGAAGATCTCTCTTCAAATGCTTCGGTAGCAGACAGTTTGGAGTGTACGGAAGTGGTGGCCCTTGAGGACGAAGTGCTGGATACAAGCCTCCTATTCAGTGATGTTCAAAATACGGAAATTATTACCCCTGTTCAGGTTTGCCGAGTGAACTGAAAGGTTTAAACAATGCCGAGTGTGGCTTAGCTATGGGGGGAGCTGATCTGGAATCGAACAAGGGCCCAACCGACCAAGTAACAAGCAAAATGCAGGTTTTTGGTAAGCAGGTAGATGGTGGTTGCTGGCAGCCAAGTACGGATGACCAAACAGGGGACGAGCTACAGAGCCTTAGAAGTATGTCAATAGGAAAGCCTATGGCAGGAGGTCTTCCACAACGAGTTGTTCCACCTGAGGAGATCTGTAAATCTCAAAATATGAACTCCTTGGCAGGTGTTCCTTGTACTCCAGTTGAACCGCTCCTGGAAGGCTGGAACCCACCCAATGTATGGTTACGTTTTCCCATTGTGGTACTAACTGTTGTCCTCTGATTGATGCCTCTATTTCAGATCCCCAGTCAGCCATTCTGCCGCAAGCCCAGGGTGGTAGTTGGAAGGTTAGCAGGGAGGAGAGGAGTTGCAAGGAAGGCAAGGAGGAAGAAAGGTAAAGGATCTAGGGGTTAGGGAATAAGGAAAATGAGGCCAATAGAGAGAGAGGTGGTACCAAGGAAAACGAACAGGAAGACTTGGTTGCTGATTTTGTAGAACAATTAGGCTGTAAAATGAAGAATGCTAATGATTTGATGGTTTTCCTAAGAAAGGGAAAGGAAGGGGGGAAGGTTAGAAAGAGGAAGCTGAGTGAACCTGAAAGGCTAAGGCGAGATATTGAAGAGGATAAGGAGTTTAGTGAGAGAAAGGGGAGGAGGGGGAATAATTAGGGGGTAGGAAAAAGGGGGTGCATAAAAGTGGAAATGAAAATCCCAAGTTGAAATGTTAGGGGTTTGGGGGGTGTAAGGAAAAGAGCTATAATTAAGGAAGTGATAAAAAGAGCAGATCCGTGCATTGTGCTTATACAAGAATCAAAGTTGATGGAGTTTGATGGTGGATGGGCAAGAGCTGTTTGGAAGAGAAGGGGTATCAACTAGGCAATAAGCCCATCTTGGGGAAGCTCAGGAGGAATAATAACGACGTGGAAAGAAGAAGCCATGGAGGGAGTGGAAGAGCTGATTGGGAGGTTCACTGTTTCCATTAAGTTTAGACAAAAGGAAGATGGGCTTGAGTGGATATTGACAAACACATATGGATCAACTGGGTACAGGGAGGGAAGTGGTTTGTGGGAGGAATTGGGGGATACTAGAGGACTTTGGGAGGGCTCGTGGTGTTTAGGAGCTTTAATATTACTAGATTCACAGAGGAGTTCACCAGTGTGAGAAGAGGAAACAACACTAGTACGAGGAAATTCAACAATTTCATTAATATTTTTGAGTTGAAGGAGGTTCCTCTACTTAGTGGCAACTTCACCTGGTCTAATTTACAAGCAAATCCAATCTGCTCAAAGTTGGACAGATTTTTATTCACAACAGATTGGGAGGAACACTGGGGGTGATTACATCTAGGACATTGCCTAGGGTTACATTAGATCACTGGCCTATCATTTTAATAAAAGAGGAGAATCGGAGATTGGCTATAGAGGTTCCACACCATTCAGATTTGAGAATATGTGGCTGGCTCACACTGGCTTTATTGAGATGGTTAAGACTAGGTAGAATAGAAGTGATCCAAGGGCCAATTGGAGGGTATGCAATTCCATTGGAAGTTGAAGGAGTTAAAGACAAAGATTAAAGAGTGGAATACCCTTCAATTTGACAGAATTGAGGAAAGAAAGCAAGAAGTGATTGGTAAATTTGAGGAGTTGGATGCTAAGGAAAGGGCAGGGGGTTCCTTTGAAGAGAAGGATAAGCAAGTGAGATGGGAACTTAAGAAACAACTTGAGGACACTTTGTATAAAGAAGAAGTTAGTTAGAGGCAGAAGTCTAGGCACAAGTGGGTGAAAGAGGGAGATAGAAACACCAAATTCTTTCATGCAATGGCCAATGGCAGGAGAAGAAAGAATCATATTTCCAAACTGGAGGTGGATGGGGTGACACTTACAAGCTAGGCTAAGATTGCAAGGGCCTTTGTGGAGCGTTTTAAGTTAATCTATAGAAGACCATTAAGTCAAAAGGGTTTGGTTGGAAGGACTAGATTGGCTCAAACTCTTTGAAAATGCTAAGATGTGGCTTGGAAGAAGCTTTGAGGTGGAGGAAATTAGGGAAGCAATCTTTGCAATGGACAGAACCAAAGCTCCAGGGCCGGATCGCTTCACAATGGCCTTTTACCAAGATTGTTGGGAGATACTGAAATCGGATATCCAATATCCTAAAAGTTTTTCATGAATTTTTTGAAAGGGAGGTAATAAATCCAAGGTTAAACTCAATTTTTATTGCTTTAGTCCCAAAGAAAGTTGGAGCAAGTCATCCAAGAGATTTTAGACCTATCAATTTGGTGAATAGCTTGTATAAAATCATTGCTAAGGTCTTGTCTCGAAGAATTAAAAAAGTGCTTCCACACATAATTTCACAAAACCAAGGAGCTTTTGTGGGAAATAGGCAGATTGTGGATCAAATTTAAATTGCTAATGAATGTGTGGAAGATTTAAAGAGAAAAAAGAAGAAAAAAATTGTGTGCAAGCTGGACCTAGAAAAAGCTTATGATACGGTGAATTGGTCTTTTCTAATGCAAGTGATGGATTACTTTGGATTTGGGAAGAAATAGTGCAAATGGATCATGGGTTGTATGGAGACATGTCATTACTCAATTTTGGTAAATGGAGTTGTAGTAGATCACTTTCAGGTCATTAGAGGAATCAAACAAGGAGACCCCCTTTCTCCCTTCCTTTTTACCTTGATTGCAGATGTGTTGGGGAAGTTAATGGAGAGAGCAGATTCAAGGAACCTAGTGAAGGGGTGGAGGGTTGGGCAAGATAAAATACCTATCACTCACCTACAATTTGCTAATGACACAATTCTTTTCTATGAAGGGGGATATCAGATGGGTGAAGTTGGTAGTTCAAACCTTTGAGAAAATGTCAAACATGAAGGTGAATTTTGATAAGAGCTGTGTGGTGGGGATTAATATGGAGGAGAGCACAATGATGGAGAGGGCTGAATTATTGGGGTGTGTGGTATCACAATGGCCTTTGTAGTACTTGGGGATGCCCTTAGGGGATAATCCGAGGAAGAATAGCATTTGGAGCACAGTAATTGATAGATTAACAAAATGGTTGGCCTCTTGGAAGAAGAACTACCTATCTCTAGGTGGTAGAATCACTTTGATTAGAGCCACCTTGTCCAGCTTGCCAGTTTACTACCTTTCTGTTTTTAGGATTCCAAAGAATGTAAGCAAAGTATTGGAAAAATTGATGAGAGATTTCTTGTGGGAACTAGGGGAGGACAGGAAAGACCATAGGGTGAAGTGAGAAATAATGTCTAGGGGCTGATGGAGGCTTGAGATTAGGCAACATTCAGAAGAGAAATGAAGCTTTCTTGGGAAAGTGGTTGTGGAGGCTAGCAAGAAAAAGATACAAGTTGTGGGGTAAGGTAATACTAAGCATCCACGGACAGGCAGATGGTGGCTGGGACTTTGGGGTCTTGGCAAGAGCTACTAGTACCTCTCCTTGGCGATCCATACATGCCATTCTTCCCTCTTTTGTACAGCACATCAGGTATGATCTATGTTCTCGAAACCAGGTGAAATTCTGGGAGCATATTTGGGTGGGTGATATGCCTTTAAAAGACCAATTCCCTTCTGTTTTCTCTCTCTACCCCTATATAAAGGGAAAACTGTGTCTATCTTCTTGGCCCCTTCTGAGTCCAACTTTGGTTTTGATTGGGATTTGGGTCTTAGAAGAGGCATTAAGGTTTCAGAACTTGAAAATGTTTTGGGGTTAATTCAGGTTTTGAAGGGAATGGTTTTACATCTTTCAAAAAGGGACAGCAGAATTTGAACCTTATCTCCTTCCAGTGTCTTTTCTTGTGCATCTTTCTTTAAGTCTTTGGTGCAACCTACCAATTCCATTGCCCAAACTTTCCTAGTAAAAGAAGTATGGGGTAAACTGATCCCTCCAAAGGTTGGATTTTTTTGTTGGGAAGCCTTTTTGGAAAGATGTAATACCTGTGACTTACTCCAAAGGAAAAGGCCTAATTGGTGCTTGTCCCCAAATTGGTGCATACTGTGTAAGGCTAATGGTGAAAGTCCCTACCACTTATTAATCGCTTACCCGTTTGGTTCTGTATTTGGGAGTGGTTTATGGCTTTATTTGGTTATAGGTGGATCCCTCCTAAGTATACAAGGGTTGTTTGCTGCTTCATTCTTCAGGTGGCCAAAAAAGAAGGGGAAAATCTTGTGGAGATGCTTAAGAGCTGCCATATGTTGGACTCTATGGGAGGAAAGGAATTTAAGGATATTCTCTAATAAGGAAAGGAAGAAAGAAGGTATCATTGAAATTATAACAGTTAGGGTGGTACAATGGGTAAAATCATTGGAGTTGTTTGTTGATATCTCTATTGGGATGCTGCTTAATAGCTGGAAGGAGGTGGCAAATTCTGATCCAGCTCTTTCAGCTGTGAGCCCTCAGTGGTGACCACCAGTTCTAGATTTTATAAAATTAAACTTTGATGGTAGTAGTGAAGGGAATCCAGGACCATCAGGAGTTGGGGTGTATTCAGAGATGAAAATGGGAAGGTGGTTGCTATGTACTCAGGCCCCATTGGGGTTGGTGACTCCCTTAGAGCTGAGATGTTCACTGTTTTGGAAGGGCTAAGAAAGGCTAAGGAGCTGAACGTTCAACAGTTGGTGGTTGAAAGAGATTCAAAGTTGATTGTAAACTGATTAGGGAAGGATAGTGGTTTATGGAAATTTGCAAATGAAAGGAGGGAGGTTAAGTGGTTATCCAGTGGATTGGAAGTTCAGTATTATTGGGTGAAGAGAACTGCAAATGCATTTGCAGATACATTGGCAAAGCAAGGTGTTGGAAGGGAACAAATGTTTTGGGCTATTTTGTAATTTCTTTCTTGTTCTCTTGGGGAGAGATTAAGTCATTTTACCTCTTCCTGGAGTGCTGTATTTAATCCTTTCTTTTCTTAATAAATGAGTTTCTGTTATTGATAAAAAAAAAAAAGACAAAATCAATAAGTCATTAAGTTCAGCCACTTCAGCTGTTATTAAATGGATTCTTAGTCCAATATGTCATCATTGCAATCCATAGTTTTGGAGGAAAGAAGATATAAAATCATAGCATATACATTTGGTAAAATTGTGCATGTATCAAGTTCATACTGAGTTCTGGTGAAATATGTGTGCTATGTGTTGACTTTGAGAACATATCAAATTGAAAGAATCTTATATCATTGGATATGAGCTCTAGCCTTTAGAGCATATAAAGTTTCTTTGACGTTTTTAAGGCATAATGGGATAAGTTTGTGCTGCATTATCAGCATCTAAAGAATTGCTACTCCCTAACAATTTGGAACATCTATTTATTTCATTGAATTGCTTGAGCAATATAATGGATGGCTGACCAATATATATTGAAACCAAAATAAAGATGGATATTTACCTGTACAAAAGGAAAAACAGTTGAAGTATCAACTTGGTCATTATGGCTAATTCCTATAAAATGAAAAAAAAAAAAGAGGAAAAAGAACAAATTGGAAAAATATTAGTCATGTCTTGTTTGTATTTATTCACATTTCGGGACCATGTTGGTTGACTGAGCAGATGGAAAATACCATTATTGAAAACCCATATTGGCAATGCCCCAAGATCCTCTGCTAGCTGCAGCAATGAAATAGTGATAATCCATTAAACATCATCGTCTCCAAAAGCTATAGATTAAAACTTCTCACAATAAGATACACCCAAACAATGCAAAAAATAAAATTAAAAAAAAAAACCTACTTGTAGAAATTCCAAGTATCCAAGCCCATCATCAGTCCAGTACATCCAAACATCACCAAAGTGTCCAGGTCTCTCCTCCCAGGGACCAATGGTTTCTTTCCATCTAAATGCATTTCTCAGCCACTCTCCTTCAACGAAACAACCACCTAATACAATATAGAGGAAGAAGTTTTCTGCATCAATCATTTGAAATCTAACTTCCATATTGACACAAGATATTGAATAAATAAATGGTGCAGCAGGCTTTAGAAACTTCTCCTTATCAAAAGAAAATGTCTTGGAAATTTCTGCTTGGATGTCCATCTTCACTGACCCTAACCTTTTCCACAACAGTTTTTCTCTTAATTCTAAGGACTACTGTGTAAATAATGTCATGCTTCTATTTGCAAGCTAATAGAGTGAATTGGTTATCCTAGATTCAAGCTAAAGTAATTTTTTTTGTAATTAAGGTTTATGCTAGAATAGGTTCCAATTCCATATTCCACGGAGTTTATATTCAACTCCAGACAAGGTTAGCTATAACTTATTAAGACTTATATAGATGTATTTGCTCTAGACCATAATACCATATATGCATATATGTAGGGAGAGGAATATGCATAAGAGTTTGACTAATGAATTTGATTGAGTTATATTCACATGTCCAGATACCATGAACAATTCCTGCACTTCAGAGATTTTCACATGCATAAATAAATAAATATGGCTAATTGCAGTTCTTTTAATTTCAGAGACTGATAATCTATAATAGGATTACCATGAAGAAGCCAAGTATGGTATGGCCTATCACCAATTACATAAACACAAGTATGGTATTGACCCTATTGTGTTTGAATGGATAGTAAAAAGGATAACAATTGTAATATCAGAACACCATGTAAACTTGTTCTTTTTGCTTGAAGCTTCCAGGATCTGTAGATATGATGGGTGCAACATCTATAACTATATAATCTGAAACAGGTAATTTATTAGTCCAATACTGTTCCAGCTAAATGCTATTGATTGTCCTAACAAACTTGATTCCAAAGGAAACAAGGTTAGTGACCTTTAGTCAGCAGCCACAGAAAATGGAAGTATTTCCTTAGAGAGAGATAATGCCTTTGGGTTGGAAGACTCTGAAAAAATTATAGATATTATTGAGGGTGGGGATTCTTGTGATGTTACTCAACAGACTCTCAAAATGGAAGTGTTTTCTTATAGATGTTACTCTACAAGAGGAAAAGAGTAAAAGCTAAAGCAGGGCATGTTAAGGGGATGGTGGATAAGGTTTAAGATTTTTTTTTTTTTATCAGTAACAGCAGGATTTATAAGAATAAAGAACTTTAATTACAAGAGAAGGGGGAGGTAAACTTTCTTAACTCAACCATTAGAGCAAAACAAAGGATACAAAATTAGAAATGAGCCCAAACGAAATACCCCCTATTCACCCCTTTCTTGGCTAACCCAAGCTTTAAGATGTTTTGGGGACAAGGAAGGTTGATTCTTGTGATGTTCAACCAGTGGATACTGCAGTTGATCTTAAAAAGGAAGATTCAGATAAGGAGGAAGAAGATTCAAAGATTCAAGAGATTGATGGGGATGAGATCCTCGATCAAATAAGACCGGTTGAGAAGAAGGCTGAGCTAGAAGTAGTGGTTGAGAAAGAGGTTCAAGTGAGTAAAATTTTGGGACTTTTCTTTTTGGGTGGAGAAGAATTCGCTAGGAATACTTTTTGGGAGTTGGAAAGAGCAAAGAAGATCAGATCTGTTAAGATCGGTGCGGTGTCAGAGCTTTTTAGAGGAGGTTTTGTTGATTAGGGAAGAAAAAGGGTTACTTTGGGAAACTTGTAATGTTTTGAGTGGCTGTAAAGATGGGAGTGGCTTCATCTTTTTGGGATGAGGATGTTCTTTCAGGAGATTGTTTGAGTTTTGATTACTTCTATTTTTTGCAGTGAATTGTTGGGGAGGTTGTGGTTTTTTTTTTCAGATTTGTTTAGGGGTGGTGCAGGGCATTTTGTTTTAGTTGTGGTCTCCTTTTCTTTTTTTGGGGTGATTTCTCATCACCTTCTTTGTATTGTAATATGTTATTGTGTTTCAATAAAGTTTCTTTTCTATTCAAAAAGAAAAAAGTTAGTGACCTTTAGTTGGTGACGTTCAAAGGTTTTCATGGAAGGGCACATGCATATTGTCTACCTAGGTCTTTGTAAAACATGAAAGAAACCAACTGCATTATATACCAGGAAATCTAATAAATTGGGGTTTTAGGCGTGCAAGCATATCCACAAGCTCTTTCCGGAAACCATGTCCCTGTGAAAAAAAAAAGGATAAAGATAGAACAATAAGTCAAAATAATACAAATATGCTTGAAGGAGAAACACACAAGTCTTCCTATAAAAATGAATCAAAGTGTAGAAAACAATTTTCAGAAATTATAAAAGAAATCAACATAAAAGATCCATACAAAGATGATGAAAGTTAGAGAAATAAAGCAAGACAAAAAGATATATAAACTAAACTGGAATTTCCAGAGAAATAAGGGGGAATTACCCAATGTTGGTCCCAACTATCTTGGGAGGGGTGGACTTGATATGGATCTAAACCTTGGAATTTTTTGCACAAAGTGACTGCTACTTGAACCCGTATTCTAACACTTATCAGTCTGATATTTTACCATTGCCCCAAGCAATGGCCCCTAATTTCCAAAGAAATAATAATAAAGATTGATGATGATGATAGTAACAGTAATGGTAATAGTAGTAGTAGGATATAGTCATCATTATGAAAAAAGGAAATTTTATTCTCTCCTTGAGGTCTGATGATGTAGAACAACCTAATTAAAGATTGCTTATTTGTTCAACTTGAGAGTTTAGCAACCAGAGTAATAATAAGAAATCTAAGAGATTGGTATGGCTAAAATGACAGTAGGGTAAGCCATTTTCATTTAAATGGATTCAAGAAGGGGATGTTAGCTAGAAGCTGGTATTGAGTAAATCAATAAGGAAAAAATAGGTAGAATATGGACAACATGAACAGTATTCTAAAAGCACGAGGTGCAAGAAAAGTGCAAGGACCTTCTTGTGCCTGAGGTGCAAGGAGCAAAGCAAGGCCCACACCTTTTTCAGGTATACAAAATTAAATAATAATAATAATAATAATAATTGTGTTAGTGTCAAATATGTAGGGGTATTTCTATCTTTATACTTATGTCTATGTGCTGATGTGTAAGATTATGTTAGATTTAGTGTCCCTTACTTAAGTAGGGGCACATGTCTTTTCCACAATATAAGTAATATAAATCAATTCTGGCCGAATGGGAGAGTGATCTTTTTCTCTCATTCGAACTAGTTCTTTCTCTCCCTTTCTTCTCTTCTCTTCTTCTCATTTCTCTCCCTTTCTTTCTCTTCCTTCTTCTTGACTGTTATCAGCTTAATAGGATTCAAGGGCAGGCCAAATCCTAATATGGTATCAGAGCCAAACTGAGCAAATCAGACCTGCCCAGAATTCTGTTTTCTGCGCACCCAGTCTAGGGTTTTCTCTTGGTTTCTTCGCCATCTATTGGAGATAAGGGAAAGGGCTGAAAAAGAGTGGTCACCCTCTTCCCTTGGAGGTTTCTATGCCTCCAGTTATGCTGTTTGTGGTTAGTTGTTGTGGTTTCTAAGAAGTCCTCCCCCTATGGTATTGACTACACAGAGACCTCCCCAATTGCTAAGATTGATTTAGTTCGTGTTGTGATCTCTCTTGCTGCTATGTATGATTGGCCCCTCTATCAACTTGATATCAAGAATGCTTCCTTGCATGGTGATCTGCTCGAGGAGGTCTGTATGGAGCAACCACCAGGGTTTGTTGCTCAGGGGGAGGACAGTAAGGTGTGCAGACTAAAGAAAGCCATTTATGGGCTTAAACAGTCTCCTCGAGCATGGTTTGATAGGTTCAATGAGGTGGTAAAGAACTTTGGTATGAAACAGTGCCAAGTTGACCATTCAGTCTTCAGTCATGACTCTCAGGCAAGAAAGATCCTATTGGTGGTGTATGTAGATGATATTGTTATTACCGGAAATGGTAAAATGGGCATTGATAGGTTGAAGGCTTTTCTTCAAGAACATTTTCAGACAAAGGACCTTGGTAAATTGAAATATTTTTTGGGGATAGAAGTAGCAAGGTCTAAGCATGGTATTAACTTGTGTCAGAGGAAATATGCCCTTGATTTGCTGGAAGAAACAAGTTTGTTAGGTGCTAAACCAGCTGAAACACCTATAGAAACAAACACTAAGCTGAGCAGCGATATGGGTGAAGTGTTTGAAGACCCTGGAAGATACCGGCGGCTTGTAGGTAAACTGAACTACCTAACCATTACTCGGCCAGGTATTTCATTTGCGGTTAGTGTGGTAAGTCAGTTCATGCAGAATCCTCTGGTTCCACATTGGGATGCAATTCTAAGAATTGTGAGGTATTTAAAGGGGGCTCCTGGTCATGGTTTGATATACAAGAGTGGTGGAAAACTTGAAATAGAAGGATGTATTGATGTTGACTGGGCCGGTTCTATGTTTGATAGGAGATCTACCACAGGCTATTGCACTTTTCTTGGGGATAATCTGGTGACATGGAAAAGTAAGAAGTAGACAGTTGTGGCAAGAAGCAGTCAGAGGCAGAATATAGAGCTATGGCGCATACTACTTGTGAAATAGTGTGGCTGAAGAACCTTCTACAGGATATGGGATACACTGTTGACACTCCAATGAAGCTCTACTGTGACAATCAGGCTGCAATTCATATTTCTTCTAATCCGGTGTTTCATGAGAGAACCAAGCACATAGAGGTTGATTGTCACTTTGTGAGAGAGAAGGTGCTAAGTGGAGTGATAGATACTGCATATGTTAACACAGGGAACCAGTGGGCAGACTTGTTTACTAAAGGGGTGAGTCGGGGAAGAGTGGACTACATATGTAACAAGCTGGGATTATATGATATATATTCTCTAGCTTGAGGGGGAGTGTTATTGTCGAATATGTAGGGGTATTTCTGTCTTTATACTTATGTTTATGTGCTGATGTGTAAGATTATGTTAGATTTAGTATCCCTTACTTAAGTAGGGGCACATGTGTCTTTTCCACAATATAAGTAATATAAATCAATTTTGGCTGAATGGGAGAGTGATCTTTTTCTCTCATTCGAACCAGTTCTTTCTCTCCCTTTCTTCTCTTCTCTTCTTCTCCTTTCTCTCTCTTTCTTTCTCTTCCTTCTTCTTGACTGTTATCAGCTTAATAGGATTCAAGGGCAGGCCGAATCCTAATAAATTGTTTAGAAAACTGAACTGGCTGACCTAACTAGTTACACTGTGACCCAGCCCTTTGGCTGGTTCAGTCATACACTAAAAACGGTAATTCATGAAAAACCACCCAAAACCAGCTGACCGGCCGGTTTAACCAGAAAATTGGTGAACTGGTCCCAGTTTTATGAAACCACCCAATTCATAGCGTGAATAGAAAAACTTCAAAATGTTCATAACAAGACTTGAACCCAAGGCGTCCTATTTGTTACCATTAATCCATCTCTTTGTTTTCATTTATTTGTGCCCCTTTAATGTATTTATTGCTTTAATACACACATATTTTGAAGAAAATGTGAGTTAAGAGACTTGAACCCTAGCCATTTATTTAAACTTAAAAATAGGTCATCTATCCACCATATGCAACTGTAATAATACCCTCCCAAATCATCATATCTAAAAGACAATAGTATTTTAAATATATTAATTTTAATATTTCAAAGATAATACTAATATGTAAGCATTTATAGAGCAAATTCATATCAAATAAGAAACTAAAGAAGGCTATAATTTTATTTGAGAAACAATTTAAAAAGCAGAGTAAATAAAAGAGAAAAGAAACAAATGTGGAGCTGCTATTTTATTTAACGGAAGAGAAAGAAAGAGAACAGAAAAAAAAAACAAAACAAAACAAAAAAATTTCTTTATCCTTCTCTTATTTTCGACTTTCTCTCTACTGGAAACTCTTGGATCTTTTAAATCTTATTAGTAAAACTTTAAAACAAAATATATGGAATATAATAGAATATATTAACACATATATTAACAAGATGTAACCATAGTAATGATATTATAATAAGGTGCCTACTTTGTTATTGTTGTCACCGAGGCAGGTACATAGTCATCTAGAAAAGTTTCTTTTTGCTATAAGTCAAGGCTTTCAGGTGAAACAAAGGGAGCTTAGTTCCTAGGGAATGCCCTAGTAAATATTATAATAAGATCCAACAAAATGTATCTTATCTTTTCTTGAAAAAAAAAAAAAGAGTAGGCAGTTGGGCTCATTTAAAACTCAACTAAGTGGATAGGGACCACATTTATGAAAGAAGGCTAAAGGGCAAACTAAAAAGTCCATTTAGGTCATTAAAGGAGTATCTTATGCTTGTCTCTCCCTCTCTTTAAGTGGCAGGCTAGGTATCATTTATTTATAGAGAGAAGTGGTTACATAACCACAAATCCCTATTTAATCTCCTTTGAGGGAGGCTACAGCTCCCCTTCCGGAGAAAGGTTACTAAGTAACCCCAACACTTTCGAGAGTCTTACGGAATTCAATCTCTAAAGAGTGAAGAGAGAAAGAAAAAGGAAAAGTTCATATAGAAGAAGATAAGAAAAGAGAAAGAAAGGAGGAAGAAAGAGAAAACACCCAGAATATCTATTTTAGGGATTCTCTAACAAGAGAAAACATTGGATGAGATTCCTCTCAATATTTACAGAAATCCAACCTTAGGTCATAAAATCTTGTCCTAAAATTTTTTATTGGATTAAAATTGAATGGATGAAGTTAGATATGCTTCTCAATAGTTAAGGGACCAAACCCTTGGTAATCAAACCGAATGCGAAATTTTATACTACTAAAGACTGGTATGCTTTGTGGAGCAGAACATTTAAAATCAAGAAACACCACATCCATAAAATAAACATGGAAGAAATAAAGATGCAGAGATGAATATGTATCATGAGTAGGAGGTATGAAATGGCTGCAGTTTAGTGACTTTAAATTCAGCCCCACTTGGTGACAATATAAATAAAGTCAAGTGGTCAACTGAGATTGTTTGATCATGTAAAATGAAGGCCAGTGGCTACACAAATGAGAAATAGTAATTTCGTACAAAGATCTCAAGGCTGCATTTGGTAAGAGTGAAAACGCTGAACTGACGCAAATTTGTACTCCAGTTCAGTTTTGCAGGCATTTGGCAAGAATACATTTTAATATTCAACTGAACTCAACACTCTTACTAAATACAGCCAAAAGAACAAACAACGAAGTAAAAAAAAAAAAAAAGAAGAAGATTGAGTTAATGACAACATTTGAGAAATGGCTGATAATTCATTAATAGATAATATGGCCCTAAACAGAGTAAAATGTTGTAACAAAATTCAGGTAGTTGGACCAAATAGTTTGATTGGACACCAATGTTGATTAAATGATGCATAAATGTTTTTTTTTTATATGAACATTATATTTTATTGAAGGAAAGAACGCCCTCTTGCTCAAAGAAAAAACAAGCAGCAGTCTTTACCACAGAAACAGCCAAGCATTCAACAAAAAAGAAAGAAAACTACTCTAGACAAGATGATCCAAGAAACACAAACAACAGATCACCAAAAACTAAGAAGTTACAGATTACAACCCGGCCCTGGGCAACCCCAATCCAGCTGGCTTTTGACCACACCTAACCTAGCAAGAGAGTCAGCTAGACCATTCGCACTTCTAAGCACCTGGTTGAATGATCTGTTCAATGAGAAAGCCAAAGAAAGTGACTTCTCATCCAAAAACTAATGGTAATAATGGTTTGACAGTCACCTTCTACCACATAACTTATCCATCCTCTTTCATGGATAATATCAGCCCAGAAATAATGTTTTTTTTTTATAAATTCCAGATATAATGGTTTGCACCATCATGGATTATATCAGTCCAGATATTTCCGTCCTTTTTCACAAGCATTGACATTCCAACCACATAACTTATCCAAAAAGCGAAATAGATATCCTCTGGCCGATATTACACATGAATGCATTTTTTGAAATATTATAACATGATATTGAGTCCTTGTCACAAATCCAGTGAGGAGTACTGAATTAAAATTTATAGATAGTATCATCACCACCATGCTCAAACATATAATTGTTTTGGAAATCTTTGTAAAAGAAATTCTTAAGAGTTTTTTATTTTGTGTTATTCCTACTCTAGGGTTTTAAAAGAAAAAAAAAGAACTAAATAAATAAAAGGGAGAATAAAGATTAAGTATATTATTGATTAAATCTTCAGCATCAAGGTTTAATAGCAATCTTGCAGCATTCATGCAAGAGTTTTACAATAAACATAAAAGGAAGCAAATTTTCAATATATCTAATTGCTAGTGATAAATTTAAGTAAACATAAATTCTTTTTTAAGAATCATAATCATCATCATCAACCATGCCTTAAATTCTTTTCTAAGAATACAGGATGGTAACCCAATGCCTCTGTAAAAATTGGAAGTTTTTTTGGACAATTTTCCAATTCTTTTCAATTTGAGGTAAATATGAAAAAACAAAATCTATCTAGTAAGGTTACAGCTTTGTTGAGTTCAGTTGAATATTAAATTTGAGATAAATAATGTCTATCCAATTACTTCACTGGTCTGTGGAGTTAATACCTTGTATGTGTCCAAGGGCATGGCTGACACCTGATCAAACCATATTATTCCTTTTTTTGTTGTTGTTAATTGAAGTCGAGCATTATGGTCTGTACTTTGTGCAACCATTAGAATCTCCACCTTTTTCCAATTCAAAACATCAGAAGCAGTCAATCTGCAACAATGATTCAGCCAGAAAAGTTAAAATAAAATCGTAAGTATGGAAAGAAGATTTTATTAGCAGAGTATAGGAACATGAGAAGAACCAATTAAATACATGAAAATGCTCACCTAATGTGATCAGTAGCCAGGGTCCGTGATCCATCGGAGCTTGCAAATGAAACTACTATATCAACTGAATCCAATGACCTAACATACAGAACCACTTTGTAGGTCTTCCCTTGTTCAATGTTCTGTGCAATAAAAAAGTACAAGAATTCAAGGACAAATTGAATACGTAAATTAGAAGGAGAAATTTTCCAGACCTCAGAAAACTAGCATACTATTGGAAAATTATGAATGAAGTGTTGAAATAGAGCGTTAACAGAAGAAAAATATGGATGTTTTAGTATTCCACAGACAGAAGGGGAAATGTCGAAAGTAAAAATGAATAGAAGATGGAACGGCTAGCCCCTTACAGATCCTAGAATCATTAAAATGGTGAAAAACATGTCTAAAAGTCTACTTTTCTAGGGATTCCACCTTGCTCCTTTATCAGAACCAAGAGGTGAATAGGGTTTTAAGAATCACTTCCCATCAATGTTTCAAGTTTTCCATTTCTACACAAACCCAAAAACAACCTTATGTCCATGTTTACATATGGATAGTAAGATGGTATGAGATAAGATTATCATTCTAGTGAAGAACAATTGACCAGACAATTCACCAATAGAAGAGACAAGAAGTATATGGGTCCCAAGCTAAGCTACGGGTATAGCAAGATGAGGATTGATACACATGAGATGTAAAAAAAAAAAAAAAAAAGTCATGTGGAAAACAAGATGTGGCAGAAAATCACGTTCAGAAAGAATAGAGCCTTCCTACTTCTTACCATGCCCCAATATCCAGGGTTATAAATTCCAACTCCTCCAGATGGACAAATGTTAGAGCCTTTGCTGTCACAAAGTACCTCCATTCTCAGTGCTACTTTATTACGGTCAAAACATGATGTACGGTCAGTTGACACAATTATATATGACAAGTTTCCAACAGGAGACCAGGGATCAATGTTCGATGGCGTATTAGGACCCCCAGCTTCAAAACCTAGCATCAGAAAATTATCAGAATCTCATCAGTAAAGATTCATTGGAACCTTCTAAATTTCTGCACCAAAATCATCGCAAGAACTTTAAATCCAATATTAGGAAAATCCTATAAAAGATTTACAATTACTGCAAGTCTGCAACAGTAATGTTGCCCATATAAACTTCAACATCCCCTCTCCACAAAAATGAAAATCAACATGGAAGATTGACAGTGATAAAAATAGAAAGGTAAGCCCAAAAATGCATCTGGTATCACAAAGAAGTAATCAGTTCTTCTGTCAAGTTGTTTCAAATACACTGGAACTTTAGAGTTTATTTGTTTGAAGACCACAAGGTATATGTAGTGGCACCAAGTAAATATTTTTGGTACCATGTGAGAAAGATCCTTTCAAGAAATTGGCTCAATTTGATAATCTTAAGTCCTAAGCATCTCATACAAATGGATTTAATTATTTGGGCATATCGATGAGAAAGATGGAAAGTCTGGTTGTTGGATGGTAAGTAAAGATTGTGCAGTAGAAAATTGGTGGATCCATGCCACATGCATCTTCACCACATCAGTGGAGATTGTGAGACATTATGAAATATCATAACACGCTGCATAAAATTTGGAAGCCATCAAGTGTTTCATTGTTCATTTCATTTCCAAAACTAGAGCTGTTCATGGGTCGGGTTGGGTCGGTTTACTGAGATTTTTCCAACCGACCCGACCTGGTCGGGTTACCTGAAATTGAAACCGAAACCGACCCTGTGTTAAGCAAAACTGACCTGGTCGGTTTGAGTTGGGTTGGGTCGGTTTGGGTCGGTTTCGGCTCTAAGTTCAACCATGGTAATAGATTTGTAGATTGGGCATCAGAAAAGTAGCTAGCAACATCATCCAGCAAGGAAAGCACATAAATTAAGAGAAAACAGGCCAATAACTTTGTGAAGCAGGAGCACCCCCCAATCAAGTTATCAAGAAAATAGAAAGTCAA